CAGTGGAGCAGAAGGTGATCCATGTGGCTGAGGAAGAGAGGAGGGTTATGACATAATCTGTCTCCTCACAGAGGCGGGTGATGTGTTAAAAAAGCTCACAAATCACCACTTCAAGTGACTGCCAGGTTTCTTTTCCCAGCTCCTCCCCTCTCCGCAGCCCAGGGTGAGATCCATGGTGTTGGTGACAAATTTCTGAGTCACAACTTGCTGACCAGCCTCAGAAGTTGGAGGGGTTAGGGTTAAAATGAGCTGTGTTGGAGATTCTTGGTGCTGAAAAGGCACACTTGAGGAGAACATCAACCGACCAACATTTCTTGCCAGATCCTTTGGTACTTTTGCTGGTTATCCCCTTTTTAAATCAAAGCTATTGAGTTGTTCTCCAAAGTCTGAAATTTTGTGTGTCACATGAGAAGGAAAATTCAAACCCTTTTCTTGGAAGAGGACTCAGTAATGACTGGATCATGTAAGTGATACTTCGACCTTCCCAGCAACTTTCCAATATTATTTTCATATTAAATCAGTGAGCCAAAGAGAGATTTGGAAAATAAAAACGAAGAAGCTAAAGCAGGTGATGGAATGCATTATGACCCCCCCCAAAAAAAAAAAAAAAAAGGTTTCTTTTTCTTTTCTTTCTCTAGAACTGGGAGTTACAGCTGATTTTGAATTGTTCCAGGAAACTTTTTAGGTTAATATCTCTTGCCATCTGATGGGCAGTAAAGTATATCCAAAATTCAGAATTTCTAAGGAGACTGTAATACAGGTGCTCCAAGAAATTCTTTGCAGCTCCTGGCTTCCCATGGCTGGGACAGGTCACCCTTCAGTGGGTAAAACCACACTTCAGTGGGATGTCCTGGCACGGAGTGGTTGTGGATAGTACCACATCCAGCTGGGGACTGTCACCAGGGGTGTTCCCCAGGGATCAGTGTTGGATCCTGTTTGGTGCCTTTATTGATGATCTGGATGAGGGGATGGAGTGCACACACAGTAAGGACAAAGATAACGCTGAGCTGGGTGGGAGTGTTGATCTGCTGTAGGGCAGGAAGGCCCTGCAGAGGGATCTGGACAGGCTGGAGAGATGGGCCAAGGCCAGTGGTGTGAGATTCAACAAGGCCAGGTTCTGGATGCTGTCCTTGGCTCACAACAACCCTGTGGAGCACTACAGGCTGGGGACAGAATGGCTGGGCAGAGAAAAGGACCTTGGGGGTACTGGCTGAGAAGGATTGAACATGAGCCAGCTGTGCCCAGGGGCCAAGAGGGCCAATGGCACCTGAAGTATTGTCCCCAGCAGGCCAGTGGCACAGAAATATTGTCCCCATCAGGCCAGTGGCGCAGAAATATTGTCCCCAGCAGGCCAGGGCAGTGGCTGTCCCCTGTGCTGGGCACTGCTGAGGCCAGGCCTCGAGTGCCGTGTCCAGCTCTGGGCCCCTCAGTTCTGGAAGGACACTGAGGGGCTGCAGTGGAGCTGGGAGGGTCTGGAGGGTAAAAGCCCTGTGAGAAGCAGTTGAGGGAGCTGGGGATGTTCAGCCTGGAGCAAAGGAGGCTCAGAGGTGACCTTATCACTCTCTAAAACTGCCTGACCAAGAGGATGGAGCAAGGTGGGGATCAGCCTCTCCTCCCAGGCAACCAGGGACGGGATGACAGAAATGGCTGAAATAGTGCCATGAGAGGTTCAGATTGGATGCTAGGAAAAATTTCATCACAAAAAGGGTGTAGACCATGGGGACACACTGCCCAGGGAAATGTTGGAGACACCATTGCTGGAAGAGTTTAAAAAATGTGTAGATGTTGTACTTGAGGACATGGTTTTATGGTGAAAATGGTGGTGCTGCTGCTTGGACTTGATAATCTTAAAACTCTTTTGCAGTCTTAAGAATTCTATGATTCCTGTAGGCAAAGTATTTATGGCATGCAACTGATTTTTTATCTGCAGTAGTACTACCATCAGCATATTTTTGGCTACCTTGCCTTAGCATATCTCCCCTTCTACTTTGTTATCATAAACATTTCTATGTGTTTTGTGCAATCTCTCTCATTCTTTCATTGGAGGAGGCATAGTTAACATATTTGGTTTATAATTTGTCTAGCCCATGCAACAGTTTGGTCAGTAATACTGGATCTTCTGAAGTAACAACTTTGTAGGAAATCCTGCAAATTCAGCCTTTTAGACCTGTGTGACCACATGACCAGTGTTCATTTATTGTTTGGGAGTTCTTGGAGCAAGCTGTGGTCTTGTGTTTTTTGTGCTGTGGGTCCTGTATTTATTTTCTGCTGCTACATGTGACATCTTGCTCAGTTTCCTCTCAGTCCTGGCTCTCTGCAGAATGCTCCCCAGCCATCCACAGATGGCCTTGGTTCATGTTACACTGTTTTATCTTGTCTTTATACATGACACAAAGAATCACCGAGGCTCAAACAACTGTTGTACATCAATCAGACACTTTTATTTAGCAGGTCATTTTTCTGTCTGCTCTACCTTCCTGTGCTTATCTGAGGCCTTTCTGGCTGACCTCACACCTGCATATTTAGAGCCACTTCTGTGAGGTCCTGATCCCTAAAACTTGGTCAAAACCTTGTGACAAAAGTATATTTTGAGTAGAGTTAACACGTTCATCTTTTGATGATGAGTGCTGGTCAGTGAGGTGTGGACTGAGCACCTGCACATTCTGTTTGCTGTGTCCCTGCTGGCCCCTTAAGCAGGCACAAAAGACCAAGATTATTGAATTTAGAGGTGATTCTAGTTAAGGGCCTTGCAGCTATGGTTAAAACATAAGAGCCAGATGCACGGGGAAAGAGTATAAATAATAGAATGCAAGTCAGCACAGACTTGCTCAAAGTTATACATTTAAGCAGAAACAAAGAGTAAAAGCAGAATGAAGAATGGGCTGGCAGCTAAATAAAAGCATTTTAAACGGATCTGGAAGTTATAGGTCCTAGGCTGAAAATATATGAATTTTACTGTATGTTTAATATGGAAATAAATATGACCCAGGAGTCTGTGAAAAGGTTTTACCACTCAAGCCAGTTTCAGCTGGAGTCCTGTGTCTCCTCTTAAGCCTTTAATTTCAGAAGAACTTGGGAAATAGTCAATGAAGAGGAACCAAAAGAAAGCAACAAAACGAATCTTGGAAAATTAATATTTGAGGAAAAGACAGAAAAATTCATATTTTCTTTCACAGCATGAAGAAGAACCTGATAATTAGAGATGTAGAGATAATCTTCAAATATATAAAAAATCTCTGAAGTGAATGGAAGGACCTATGTTTTAGTTTATGGTGGTATGATAACCAAGAAGTTGAAGAGATGATTCAGATTGAGCACAAAGAAAAATGCTCTCATGGTGGGTAGGGAAGAAGTAGATGGAGGAGCTGTGAGTTCCATCCCTGGGTGTCTTTAGAAGAAGACAAAACAAGAATATTGCAAATATTCATTAGCCCTAGGGTGAAATAGTGAACCAGAAGATCTCTTCAGACATCTTTCAGCCCCTGTTTGTTGGTGCCATAGTGATCTCAATTTCTTTCAAAATAATCAGAGACAAGGGTGCTTGGTTTCTCTCAGCTTACAAAGGTGCCACATTTGTATTCATTGCCACACTTATATCTAGTTCAGCACTTTATGGCTTGAAAAGCGTCTTTTGAT